CATGTATATAAAATAGGCAGTGCCTTTCTCTCGGAATTCATCACCTGCTTCTGTAAAGCTCCATCCTCAAAATATTTGCAAATGTAAATAATAAAAATTGAAATTATTTTGTCATTTTCTTACGATCGACAGGCCTGCATTTCAAAGAGAGAGAAAGAATTTCTAGCTAGGTCTTTGAATAACAGTGATATCGGTTAAGAAAACCAGGTCCCTAGGAATGTACATGTATATAAAATAGGCAGTGCCTTTCTCTCGGAATTCATCACCTGCTTCTGTAAAGCTCCATCCTCACTTGTACTAACATAACCGACTGAGAAGGAAAACATTCTATTTATTTCGGGTATGGGGGTATACGTATAGTGATGAGAGGAAATTTATTCATCTATCCGTTCATTAAATATGAAAGATTGCTTCTGAGTATTTATATATGATCGCACGACTTTCGTGTTAATTTATAAAAGTTAGATTATGTAAGCAAAGAACTAAACTAACATTTGTTTAGTGAATTAAATAATTATTTAGCCGTTTATAAGGTGTTTTTTTTTTAACATTTGTAAGAACCACTTTATTTTAAAAAACAAATAATCGTCCTATTATGGGCGCCCATGATATATTACACAGGATGTTTAATTAAAATATAATTCAGATATCGACATCCAAGAGAACAACACATTCTTTTTCAGTGGCGGATACAGGAATCTTGAAAAGGGGGCCCGACCAGTTTTGGGTCGGGGTAGGGGCCCAAAGCCACATAAAAAATTGATTTATTAAATCTTGTGTATATTTTGGAGACAAAAAGAGGGCAGGCCCCCTGAACCTCCTCTAAATCTGCCAGTGTTTTTTTTTTTTCATTATAAAGACTTGCAGAATAAGCGAAATAATCCAGACATTTAATAAAAATCTCGAACCCGATCTAAAAGGCGTTGACAAAGTCAAACCAGACGGTTTTAGTTTTTAGGGCATTTTTACAGTGATATGAGAAAAGTCTGATAATTGCTGTTGATTTTAAGAAATGAAGTTCGTCATTTTTCAACCTCGTTCGATATAATATAATTTACTGATAATTTTTTCCGTTAAGGAGGAATACATGGACGAATGATTAAAAAAAAAAGCAGTATTCTGCATGTGCATGTACACATCATTGCTATTGTGTACTCAGATTAAACAGAAAATCCTTCGTTACATTGTATTTGGGTATAATTTTCACATGTTCTCAGGCGGATATTCATTTATTTTTATCTGTCTAAAGACAATAATTTCAGTTAATAGAGAATTATTTTTATTTCATCGTTTTTTTCCCATCCTTTTGAATTACGTTTGATTTGTATACAAAAGCGTGTGTTCATATACCACGGTTTCTAGGGGCTATTGATGTGATCAGGGAGAACATGATATTCTCCAGCAATTTACTTTTTATGAAAACACTCAATGAAAACATATTAGGTGAAAATATATATACCGATAGTATCTTAATATCTCAGTATATACCTGTTTAATTGTAATGTCAACAAGCGTAACGATCGCTGGCCAGGACTTGAATATAATTTATTACCATTATTAAAACTTGTCAGCTGAGCGGACCTATGATTTAAACAGTAAAATAGGGAAATTCCAGAGTTCGAAGTGTATTTATTTTGGGCGCTCTTCCACATACACAAATAAACCGCATTTCCACGTACTTACATGCATGTACCAGTAATTCGTATCATGGGTAAATTCAGTTTATTAGATGAAATAAAACAAATGCATAAGATTAATCTTCCTAGACAACACGTTTTTAAAACTATCTAATATAACTGACGGTATAAAATAACAAAGAAAAGAACGGGATTGTGTAAACAATACAATGTTTATAAAACAACAATACAATGTTTATAAAAATAAAATTAATATGCAACTTTCTTGTAATTCAGCGAATAAAATATAAATTGAAATGTACTAGCGACTTAATCAAAGATATTATAAAATAATCTGAAAGATTCAACATATTTATCCACTCATCACTTAGTTTACAAAATGTATTTGGAAAGGCCATTCTATGGTTTGTTTTGTGTATGACCTTAGGTCGCTGGTTCACACGCCGATTGATCACCGGTGACCTCCTTTGCCACGCGCTATCGAGGGAGGGGTTACATAATTATAAATATACAAGATGAATGTAAAAGGCTTGTACTTAGTGGCTGTGAATGGTCTATGTTTAAAGTTTTGTTTTATTTTCTAACTTTATTGTTTGTTTTTATATGATAAGAAGAAAAGGTTATCTTTTTTTCCCTGTAAAGTAGACTGGTTTATCCAAATTTGAAAACAAACGAAATAAAAGGGAAAGTTGTCAGTAAATAATTTGGAAATAAAGCTCAGAACACTTCAAGAACCCGATTCTAAAGAATATTAGCATCTAATGTAGCTAGGTTTATTATTTATAGTAAGTTTATTTTAATTACACGCATGAAGAGCTCTTGTTTACTTGCTGAATGAAAACACTTACAGTGGCTGCAACGTTATTGTTGACAAACCAATCGTGTAGAATCGTTCGTGTAACGTGCGTGATCGTTCGTGTAACGTGCGAGATCGTGCGTGTATCAGACTCAATCGTTTGCGGTTTTAATCGTGCGTGATCTTGCGTTAAGAAACGTGTAAACTTCGTTTTGTAAGTTTTTATCGGAATGTTATTTGTTATACAAGCATTTCGCTTGTCTGTTTTTTTTTTAATCCAAATAAAATAAATGAAGCGTGAGTTACATAATTGAAAACAGAACGAACTAATTATCGCTTGGAAATAAGCAATATAGTAAGTCGTACAATATTGTGTTCTCGTCAAATAGCGTGATTTTTTGTGATAAACCGTACTTATATGTTTAAAGATTTTTTCTCTGATATTGATTATGTTTACTGCTAATTATGGTCAAGATATTTTTAAAATCAATAGATCAAAAATTGATATTTTTACAAATAAATAAATAAACAATTCTCAATGCTTACATAAATATATAGTCGGCGAATGTACATGTACGCGACATGATTGTCGGGGTTTCGTTTATCAGTGTTTATCTCTGGAGCTTACTTTTAATTATTTTTATAATTTTTGCAAATAAATGATTTGTAAAATAATTGTTGTCTTGAGAGATTCACAAATGGAAACATGGAAATAACTTACAATTCAATTCATTTTGATGCCATTTTTTTCAAACTTATCCCTTTCTGCATATTATGAAATCCAATTCAATCAAAACTCATGGTCCACCTACATGTACATCTACTGATAGAACGAGAAAAAAAAACCCAGTTTTCTTAAGTCGGAGAATTACGTACATAATAATTTGTAATCGAAGATAATTAATAAGTTTTATATGTATTTAGTTCCAGAAATATCCATTTCTATTTTTTTTTTTCATTTTTCAAAGTCAATGAAATAATATCAATAATTATTTGAAATCTACAATAAGTATTAAGCCTTATTTCGTTTTGAAAATATCCATTCCTAAAGAACTTGAACTATTCTGCGTGAAGAATCGTGCGTTTGCGTTAGCAATCGTGTAAGATTGTGTAACGTGTAGAATCGTGTGCGTGAAGGATCGTTCGTGTAAAAGATTTTATCGTGCATTAATCGTGCGGAATCGTTCGTGTAACGTGATCGTTCGTGTAAGTTGTCAACAATAACGTTGCAGCCACTGTACCTGTATATGTGATATGCTTCTAGCTCATTTAGAACATGACTCAAACAAAATAACATTTTCTTGAGATCAGTAAGATGTTAACTAACAACTTTAATTATGGCAGCTTTTTCGAAATATTTACCGTTTTTGAGTTGTAAAGCAAAAACTTTTAAAGGGCCCCAGATCCCTCATTTAAGGGGCCAGACCCTTTTTAGTGGTGTCAAATGAAAGGCCTTAAAATTGTGCCCAACTTTTATTCTACATGTTTTATCAAAATGTTTTTGGTTTAGAAGATAAAAAGGAAAATATGTGTAAATTTTCACTCTTTTGGGCGTTCTAATTTTTAACCCCTCTCTAGCACCATTTTGAATACAGAAATTGACAAATAAAAACCGATGTCCACAACTTCAGTGCTTCTATTATTTAAATTCGGTAGAATTTCTACTCCAGCTTTTGTAGTCTCGGAGCCTTTGTCTGGAATTGAAGCCTCCTAAATTTTCATTTAAAGGGAGATAACCCAAAAGCGGAAGTGGATTTTTGAAATGTTACACAGCATTCTGATAGAGTTTTGTAACGTCTATAAACCCTGCAAATTTGACTAAAATCCGTTGAGAAATGAGCAAGATATGAGTTCTCAAAGTTGGCGACTAGGAAAAAAAAAAGAATAATAAGAACTAGACGAGCTTGTCGCAAAGCAACAAATAAGTCTTCTGTCTAAATTCCAAGGAGATGAGATTAAGATCGAGAGACATCTACGGTCATATGAGCAAGAATGAGCCATTTACCATTACTTCCGGTGTGACTGGAAGTGACCTCATTTTGACGACTTCTGATGATCTCCTTAGCTGCTACTTGTCATTTTGAAGAACTTTGCTTCTATGATGCTATACAAATTCTCAATACTTTTTGAGATATCAGGAAAACACTTTTGGTCCCTCAAGCTCCCTAATTTTAGGGGCCAGCCCCTTATTGTTGATATCCTTTGAAAGAACATTTTTCGGGCCTTAGCGAGCGCCGACGTACGGCACTTCCGGGGAAAAAGAAATGCGTATGTCACATCTACACATAATGCTCTATCATCGCTGAAAAATTTCATGCTTCTACCTGGAAGCGTATTTGAGGAAACTGCCAGACAACGTGACCCTCCGAAAATCACTAAATCGCGGAAAGCTCGGAACCTGAAGTGACGTCATCAAAACAAAAAAAATATATATCTAGATTTTTTGATGTTCTATCAGACCTGTAAGTTTCATGAAAATCGAGCAAGCCGTTTCTGAGAAATCACGTGCACAAAATCGGTAAGAAAAAAAAACAATAATAATAAAAATAGTGGAAAAGAAACCTAAGAATAACAAGAAGGTCTTCCGCTGAAGATGGAAGACCTTAACTAGATGCGTTTCTTGTTGCTAGGGCAACAAGTGGTCTTCCAACCGAACTTTTCTCCAGATCGCTATGCTACCCCACTTCATTTAATACTTTATTGAAGGTATTTTTTTTTGCGTTTATGTAACAGTCTTTCAACATAGATCATGATCATTAAAGGTTTCTGCAGAATCTCTGTTAAAAAAGCTTTAAAAAATAAGCAAAAACTATCATACATGTCTTCACAGAGAAAAATATCACTTACAACTGAAAAAAGAGAGAAACAATCTCCTGCCCCAGCAGGATTCAAACCCACAACAATACGAGAAAGTTTGGATCGGTCATATCTTTGCAATAAATGCACGCATCAAGATATAGAAAACATATTTAGAATTCTTGTAAGACACTCTATAAACCCTGTAAATCCTAAAGAAAAATATTGAAAAACAAAAAAGTTGCAAATTTAACATTTTTGAATTCACTTCCGTTTGTGACCGGAAGCACGAACGATGAAAAATAATGGTCGATCACCAGATGCTCTATCACCTCAGCAAGTTTCATATTCATATCTTATCATATATATCAGAAGACCTTAATAATAACTAGTAAACTAATTGTTCAGAGAACAATTAGAGGCCTTTCCACCTTTTTAAGTGTTTCCTTGTCATTTGGGCTGAAAAAAAAAGAAAAAATGCAAAAAAAAAAAGAAAAAAAAGGCTCCTCCAGCTGGGATCGAACTCAAAACCCTTGGTTTGAAGGGCAGGTGCGCTAACAACTGCGCTACACATTGCGATAAAATTGGTAAGTTAATTGTTCAGGACTATAGAATTAATACAAGCGTATTTTTAGAATCGGTAGGGGAAGAAAGAAGTTCCGTAAAAGGAAATAGTTCCTGAACTTGCAAGCAGTAAATAAAATAACAAGGGACGGGCTGCGTGAGAAAACGTTAACACTGTTCCCTAATGAAAATGTATTAATGGACTGTAGCCCGATTCATCGATAATGTGAGCATGCTGAATTTTTTGAAAATAGCTTTGTTGTAAACTTAAAAGATCGGGTTCGGATTTTAACATTTCTGACTGAATATCCTGAAATAAATATGAAACATTTAAATATGCATTTCTTTGGGTTAAATTAAATATGTGTAGCACAAATTAACTTCCCAACATGCATTTTTAGAAGGGAAACATGACAATGAAAGCGAGAATTGTTTTTAATATACCGAAAATCGCTATTTCTGGAAACTGATTAATTCTAAATAAAAATCAAATAAATTCCAAATGTAAAAGAAAGAGAGAATGCTTGGTATTAAAATGTCGTATCATATCAGGAAAATTGAATGCTACTAACGACATCTGAAGAAATAGCCGATAAAAGGTTTAGATCATTTCTTCGTTCACCTGCACTTTAATTTCAAACACAACAGAACTTGTAGTTTTTGCCGTGAAACTTCATGACTTCTATAAACTTATAAGACTCACCATAAAACTCTCAAGAAAGTTTCTCTGAGGTTTATACTACATTTGTACCAAATATGGTGTCGATCCGAGGTCTGGTTTGAATTTTACAGAAATATTCTACGTTGTTGTTGATGTGATTTTTTTTTAAGAAAGGGGGGGATGAATTATTTATTTTATGCCTTTTTTAAACTAAGAATTGTAACTACTTTCACTTCCTTAAGCCTGATTGTGACCTTTGAGTCAAGGTCAAAGGTCAAGGTCATTTCAAAAAAAAAAAAAGATACAAAGGAAAATATGTGTAAATTTTCACTATTTTAAGTGGTCTAATTTTTTACCCCTACCTAGCCGCATTTTAAATGCAGAAATCAAAAAACAAAAACAAATGTGCACAACTTCTATTCCTTATATTCAGTGGTATATCTGAACCAGCTTGTGTAGTCTTGGAGCCTTTGTTTGGAAATCAAAGCCCCTAAATTTTCATTTAAAGGGAAATAAATCAAAAGCAGAAGTAGACTTTTAAATGTTTTAAAGCAATCTGATAGAGTTTTGCAATGTCTATAATCTCTGACAATTTGAGCAAAATACGTTGAGAAATGAGCAAGATATGAGGTCTCAAAGTTAGTGTCTAGGAAAAAAAAAAAAAAATTAGAGCAGAGCTCAATGCAAAGCAACGAGTAAGTCTTCCGTTGGAGCTGCGAACAGAAAGAAGTGACCTTGAGTCACTGTCATGCCACATTCCAAGGTTATAAGCAATCTAATAAGGGGTGTCAACTTGCAATGTCTAACCAGTAGAAGACAGTAAAGGAATGTACAAGTTTCTCTGTCGGTGACCTTGAACTCATTTAAATGACCTTGCGTCAAGCCATGACACACAGTGGTTGTGAGCAAACCCCAGTTGTGTGTTACCGACTTGACAAGTTAACACATGTTCTTTCAGACCATTCATCCAGATAAAACATTTTTCCTTAGTGAGCCTGAATTTAATCAAGGCAATGATACACTCCACATGATATCAGCAATACCCTTTTGTGTGTCTTCAACTTGACAAGTTCACACATGTTTTTTTCAGACCACACCTCAAAAATATGTATCATAATATCTGTAGTCCTAATTTATTAGGTTCAACTCACTGGTTTAAAGGTTAGTAGTAAATGTTTTATGCCAATTTGGATATTAAGCAAGGTGTGTTTGTGAAACACTGATGCCCCCATATGGCAGCTTATGGCGAAGATTAAAGTTTCTCAAATGCTAGTCAAACTCCATGGTCAAGGCCAAGAGATAAAAAAAATGTTATGGTATTACCCATAGAAAGGTCTTGACACAGAGAATATAACTGTGAAATATATATGACAGGTATAGCAGCAACCATGTAAAAGTTATGGCCAAGGTTAATTTTTTGAAAGGTCAAACTCCAAGGTCATGGGCAAAGGGTCATAATTGTTTGTACCCCAAGGATGGTCTTGTCACAAGGAATACACGTGGTATAAAAAAAAAGCCTTAGCACCAACTGTTCAGAAGTTATAACCAAGTTTAAAGTTTTTCAAAAGTAGGACATACTCCAAGGTCAAGGTCAAAATTGTTGGTATACAGTGAAAGGTCTTGCCACAAGAAATACACCTGTGAAATATGAGAGCCCTAGTATTACATGTAGCCATTCAAAAGTTATTATCAAGGTTAAAGTTGTTTAAAAGTTGGTCAAACTCCAACGCCAAGGTCAAATGTTCAAACATATTTAAATCCAAGGAAAGGTCTTATCACAAGGAATACAGATATGAAGTATGAAAGCCCTAACACCAAATGTTCAAAAGTTATGGCCAAGGTTAAAGTTTGGTAAAATTTTGCAAAAGTGGGTTAAACTCCAAATTCAAGGTCAAGAGGTCAAATATGTTGTTACTTAAAGAAAGTCCTTATTACAAGGAATGCAAAAACCATAGTTCCAACCAATCAAAAGTTATGGACAAAGTTAATTTTATGCGGACCAGCTAACAGATAAATAGACAGATGGAAAGGACAAACACTGTATGGCCCCAGATCTTTCGATTATGGGAGCATAAAAAATGTCAGCGACTTTCGGTTTTCGCACTGGCCTTAAATCTGACAGGATTACAACGTGCATTACGATATGCTATCACATCATCTTTTATAATGCAGATCATATTGTCTGCAAAGATAAAGAAATGTTTAATTCAGTTTTTAATTATCTATGCCTAATTATCTATGTTGATTTCATAAGGAAATATGAAAATCAAAATACTGAAAGTACTGAATTGAGGTGACGTCTTCCAGTAAAATGTGAAATCTATCCCCAAGTTAACTGGCATATACAAAATCTTACATCAAGAGAACCTCAAATGAAAACCATTGGAAAGCAAAAAGTGAGCAATACGACAAATGCATTTTGCATCTTTTTTGATCTGTAAATCTAGTTACTTTAAAAAAAATGCAAAAATACTAACAAAAGAATCTTTGCCATATGAATGTGTAAAAAAAAAAAAAAAAAAAATGGGGGGGGGGGGGGGGGGCATGTGTCATATGTCTTTGCCCCAGGGTCATCAACTTACATGAGCTCACTCTTGATCTCAGTCTCACTTTTCAACTAATAATTCCTTTTGTAAAAGTGAGACTGGGATCAAAAAAGTGCTTGTCTAAGTTTTATGGCCCCGGAGTCACATTAATCAATAACGTATATTTGGGATGCTCTTGCTCATACACTTGTACATTGCGAGGAACAAATATTAATTTACATACATGTCATTTAAGTTTCAAAAGTTCCATCACTAGTAGTAAATATTTAAGGTAACATCTTTTTAACTGTATCTGAAATAAAAAAGAAAGTAACCGAGATTGAGAAATTAATTGTTTATAAAAATAATTATGCAGCCTTGTTGTAATTCAGCGAATAAAATATTAACTGTTGTAATGCACTAGCATTTTGGAATAAGACTAAATCAAAGATAAGATAAAATAATCTGAAAGATTCAATATATTTATCCATTCATTGCTTTGTTTACAAAATGAATTTGAAACAATATTTTGTGCAGGACCACAGGTCGCTGGTTCACACTCCGATTGATCCCCGGTGACCTACTTTGCCACGTGCTATTGAGCAAGTGTTACATAATTGTAAACACACAAGGTGAATGTAAAAGGCATGCAGTTCATGGCTGTGGATTAGTCTATGTTAAAAAGTTTTGATTTTATTTCTATATATTTACATTTCCAATATGATTCTTTACAGAATAGAGTACAGTTCATTTTCTCATGAACTACCATGAATGGGCATGAATATCTCCATTGCTATGTCATAATACCTTACTTGACATCAAAACTATAGTAAAAACTGTTTTGCTTTAAAAATGACAGTTGAATTTTGTTATTTGTGGCAAATTATCAGAAAAATAATGTAAATATAAGAAATGAATTTAATTTTTGAAAAGGTACATGAACTACAATGCTTCACGCCGGCATATTTATCATGAAGCGCTAACGCGCTTCATGAAATATGCCAGTGTGAAGCGTTGTAGTTCATGTCCTCAT